GATGACCCGGCACAGCCAGGCTCGTGAGCCCGTGCCGTACGTTACCCTCTCGCAGCATGAGAAGGTGAGGCCTGCTCCTCCCTGCGCGCCCAGGCTTTGGTCCGCTGCCTGCCGGTGGTGAGGCTGGTGGTGCGGGTGCTGCCGCCAGCCTGGGGGGCAGGAAGAGCGCCTTCCTTGCAGAGAAGGCGGCCACACGTCGGCTTGGGCACACCGGCCTTGCAGAGGGGTTTCTGCAGAAGCGCTGCAGCCAGGATGGCAGCTCTGGATTGCTGCAGCATTCTGCCATTCCTGCATCTTCTCCTACGCAGAGTAACGGCAATGCTCAACTTCTCAGCCTTTATTTTAAAATTGGACTAGTCTTCCTGCTTTCTCTGGTCTCCTGGCTTCCAGCTGCCTCCTTTACCAACCTATCCTCTGCTGGGGTGGGCACATCCAAGAGAGCGAATTTTCAGTTCGGAGCCTGCTCCTTGCCTTGCTCAAAACACCTTGTTGCATAGCTCGAAGTCCTGCTGGGTTTGTGTTTGTGCTAGTTACGTGGCTACTGATTGAGCTGGAGATCTCACCTGGCACAAGATAAGGACGCTTCTATGGGGAACACAGGGCCTGTGTCCCTGGCTGTCAGACCTGGGCGTGTGTTGTTGTTTGTCACAACTGCCAATCCAAACATCTTCTGCCTGAAGATCTCTTCTTGCTGGCTAAGTTGCACACCTCCGCTCATCTCTCGCACGAAAGGGTGCTTCTGAGCTTTGAGAAATAACTGTGAAGAAGCGCTTGTCAGACTGGTTCCTGTGTCTCTGCAGGCTTGGTTGGGCTTCCTGCTAAGAAGACATCTGTCCAATTGTCCTCTATACGAAGAGAACTTAACCAATTTCTTCTGGGCTGAGGTCCAGCACTCCTGCCTGTAAAACATGTCTGAGCATGTGGGTTGTACAGCTCTGAACTGGGGCTTCACCACACTCCCTCTTCCCCAGTTCTTCTGGGTCCCAGGGACTTAGTCTGGGCTCTTCTCTACCTATGCCGGTCCCAGGCAGGAATGGGACCCCAAGACTTTGTGGAGCCTAAAGATCTTTTGTTGCTATTGGCATCCCCTATCCCCTCTGGGCCTGAGGAAGATTCTTGGAGTTTGACTCTGGGGCTGGTTGAGGAGGTAGGAGCGCTGAGGGGACTCCGGAGCTGGGGCCCTTAAGGACACATTTCCCAGGCTCGGGCAGGTCAGTAGTATTTGGTTGCTCCTCCTGAGCTGTCAGTGCTACCAGCCTTCATCCTCTTGGAGGCAAGCGAATTATTATGCCACCTACAGAGCCTTGCTCTGTCAGTACTCGGTCAAATTCCCCAGCTCACATTGCAGGAACCTGTTGCCACTGGATCTGTGTGAAGCATCTTCCCTCTTTCTCTTGGTCAAGTCTCATCTTCTAGAATGGTGGTGCTTAATATAAGGATCACGCTGTGGAAGGACCAGACACCATGCCTTGCTGGATTGATAGGTTTATTCGCAGATGGTGTGGCAGATGAGAGCAGCAAATAGTCTAGAGGGACTGGTGGTTTCCTTGCTTAGAAAATGCTCTTGCTCTGGTTTCCTTGGTGGGACAATAGCAGGCATGCAGTGTTTTGGGGCAGTCTTCTTCCTGGCACCCCACTGATGCACACGAGCAGCCCAGATGCCTTCCTTCTGCCTTTGGTTTGGCCTTCTGAGTAGAGACCTGATTGGGGTGGAGGCACAGGGAGGCTGCACTCAGTGTTGAAGCTGGTCGCAACTTCCTGGCTCACTCACTGCCAGCACAGCTGTGGAGCACAGAAGTTTGGAGAGGTGCCCTGAGCTCTGTGAAACAAGGTTGTCTCATGACCGCTTTAATCTGGCTGAAGAACAAGCTGAGAGCAGGAAGATAGGTGCTGGCTACAACTTCCCAGCCCCTCTTTGTGCGGTACCTGTGGTTATAACCATGCCATGAGCTGAACTATGAGCAGATCCAGATGCAATTTCCCCGCTCCCCCTGCCCCCCTTCTGTGTTGGGTTTGTCCAGAGGACTGGGCATCTGTGCTGGAAATAGAGATTCTGACCCATCCCACAAAGCTGTTCCCTCTGCACCAGCTGGGTTCACGTCTCTTCTTCCGCCTGTCACTTCTTGGTATGGCAAAAGGATCTGAGAGGAGTTTTGTTCCAACCTTCACAGCTCTTCTGGGTGCTAGAGCTCTTCTGCCAGACTTTCCCTTCTACTGGCAGGAGGCTTTTTGCTTGTTATCCTCTGTGCATGCAGTGCTCTGGGGAAAAAGGCACTGCACCTGAGAATCACGTCAACCTTACTGGAGGCCTTTGGGTGCCTGGAATCGGGGACATCCTTGTGAGTAGGCAGGACAGCTACTGGAGAGGAGCAGAAAGTCCTGTGCCCCCTGCTGAGGATGTGCTGCATTCCTTGTGCATGCCAGGAGCCTCCAAGCCTCCCTGCACCCTGTCCCCTGTCTGTGCTCTTCCTTTTGCTGACTTTTGCCTGGTGCTGTTAAGTGTCCTTGTCTGAGGTGCGTGTGACGCCAGTTCCCCTTGCCTTCTCCAGCCTCCCCTGCCAATCACTGACTAGCAGGGGGTCTCATTTTGGCTGGGTCCCGTCTCCCCACTTCCTGCCTGTCCGTGTTGGTTTTGCCACCCAAGTGCTGCAGCGTTGTCAGTGTGCTTAACTCTGACCTGGCTTGTCTGTGGCCTATTTCAGTGCGAGGAAGCAGCCTACGAGGAGCGGTGGTACCCAGCTGGGAAGTGGGCGTGTGTCACCAAGGGGGAGCCCATGTATGAGCAGAGCATCTCCATGAGCTTCATGAAGCTCATGCGCTACATCTGCAAGGACAACTCTGTAGGTGTGTGCAGGCAGGGGCTGAAGGGGGCTGGCAGGCTGCACAGAGGGAGGGCCCTGCCACTGTTCCTCTGGAGTGGGGAGGAGGGCTGCTGCCACTGACCCAGCCGCCTCACTGTGCCCACTGCCTTCCTACCTTCCAGGTTGCTATCTGGGCATGACAGTCCCAGTGCTCAATGAAATCCACCTGACCAAGGAGGGGACCGAGCTGGAACGTGAGGTCATAACTGCCTATTATCTCCCGGGAGAGTTCCAGCAAAACCCCCCTGTTCCCATGGACCCTGAAATCCACATCACTGAGAGGGCACCGCTCCGGGTTATAACCAGGTGACCCCAGCACCAGAAGTGTTTTCTCAGCTCAGCAGAGGTGTATGAACTCCCTGCATGGCTGCTGTGGTTCCTTGGGCAGAGGGATGGGAGCCCTGGCTGTGGGAAGGGGGAATGTGCTGGCTCTGTTGCTTACGTTGCTACCTTTGCTGCAGGGTTTTCTATGGGATGACCACTGAGGAGACGATTCTACGAGAGATCAGTCTCTTCTGGGAGCTCTTGGGCTCCACAGACACTGTGCTCCGGGAAGCCTACATCGTGGCTGCTTATGAAAATCCCAGCATCCCTCAGCGTCGCAATGAGATCTGGTTCATCTGCCGAGCAGAGTGAGTCCCCTCTGTGACGGCAAACCGTCCTGCGACTGGACCTGGTGTAGATGGCAGTTCTGACCCAAAGGAGACGAATGCACATCCTGACCCACCATTCACCCACAAAATGACAGACCAGGAGACTGCGGGGTGGGTTTGCACTCTGCCCCGCAAGGGCCCAGCCAGGGGGAAACCTGCCTGGTCTGCACTTCACCTGCCCCCGCAGGGGCCAGCTGAGGCTGGAGCTGGCACTGGGGAGAGCCTCTGCAGCAGGCTTCTGGTGGGAAGCACGTCGTGGGGGCTCGTACGTAAGGCAGTAACTGTGTGGGCTTGTGCAATGTGCTAGCCTGACCTGGGCTCCTCTCAGCTCTGAGCTGGGTTTGCAGAGCTGTGCCAGGCATGCTAGTGGGGCTTGTGGTTGGCAGAGTCACAAGCTGATGGTGTCTAGAAGGCAAATGACTGTGTATGAGGTGTGGGGCTCTGCCTGGGCTCTGGCCTGCTTCCTGTGGGAATGGCTGCCTGTCCCGAACAGAGCCACTGAAATGCTGCTACAGGGACAGTGGGGTTCAAGGGGGAAAAGGGCTCGCCACAAGTGAGATGTGGATCCTGAACGTTTCCTGCTGGGGTGCCTCCCTGGCTGTCACTCACCATCCCTCAGCCAGGACCGGAGCACTGGCAGCCTTTGTCCATCAGTTGTGGGTGCTGTTTCGCGGACCTGCTGCAAGCTGAGAGGGACAGGTCCTGACAGCAGCAGCAGTGGCACCGCTGTGTGTTGTGTTGTGCATTGATCAGTGAGTTTCACATCCATGAATACCGTCATGCTTTCCTGTGGGAAGCTGGCAGTGCCAACAGTAAATAAACCCAGCTCAAACCACTGCAGCTGCAGATCACTGATGGCGGGGATGGGGGGTGCCCAGGTTGGCTTGGGAAGAGCCTTGCTCTCTCCCTCCTCAAGATGCTCCAGGCTGCAAAGCTGTGGCTAATTAGAAGGGCTCTAATGTTTGCCCAGGTTATGGCCTCATGTTCAGCCAAGCACAGCCTCTGCTTTGCTGCACAGGCTGCTTAAATTGCTGCTACAAACAACTGTGGCCACACTCCCCTGCAGGTAAGGTGGTTTTCTGTTGGATGGGGTCTGCTCTAGCCTCATTTTTCCCCTGTGCAAAAAATTGGCTCCTTTGACTGTACTGTACACGGGCATCTGATCTTGGGGGCTGAGAGTTCGAATGTGACTGCCCATCATGCTGGTTTGCTGCAGGAACTGGTGTACTTTTGCAGGGATGTGCTTAACTGGCTCGGTGTGGAAGGACTTCTGGCTGCTTCTCACCCAGGTGCCAAGGAGTTTCTTCCTGCTGTAACTGGAGGTGTGCTGTGTGCCTCACCTCCTGCTGCTGCTGCTGCTCAAACTCTGGCTCTGGCCCTTTGGCCCTACAATGAAGACAGAGGGAGGGAAGGGGGTTAAGGCCAGGGCCAGCTCCGTGGTCTCATTTGCCCTAGCAGTGCAGGTGGCTTCTGCCACTCAATTCTCCAGTCAGATGCCGTTCACTGCCCTGTCCAGGCTGGCTTGCCCCCCTGGCAACGAGGGAGCCTGGCTGCCCAGCCTGTGGCTATGGGGAGAACAGAGCCGAGCATGTTACACCCTCCTCTTCAAGGGAGCAAGGTAGCTTCAGGCAGAGTCTGGGCAAGCACAGCAGGAGCAGACAGGGGTTTCCTGGGTATCTTGTGGTGCAGTTCTTGTCCCTGGGGCACTAAAAGCAGGTAGGGCTGGGGAGGTGCTGTGACAGCCTGCAGCTCTGAGGGCTGATGTGGCAAGTGCTCCTCAGATAAGAGTGGCCATACCTGGATCAGCAGTGCTGTGCTCACTTCCCTCCTGGGGAAGGAGAAGCAATTCCCTTATGTGAGGCTGGGATCAGGTGGCTTCAGCGTCAGTGGGAGAGCAAAGTCAGCCAGCGTATGTGGGACCAGAGACCCTTCCTCTTGCTACACATCAGCTGCTTTGTTTGCTTGCCCTGAGCTTGCAGGTGGAAGTAAAACCTGCTTTCTAGAGCTGGCTGATAGGCTGCCACTTCCTCTGAGGCTGCTTGGTCCCCAACCACAACTAGAACAGCTTTCAGTGACAGGAAGTGGTGGCTTCCCTATGAGAGAGGACTGGTCTGCGGCTACTGGCAAAGCCGCACAGCCACGCGCCCCGCTGGGGCAGCTCCGTGGTCTCCTAGGCCCTGCTGGAGGTGGTAATGGCAGGGGCTTCTGTTGCAGCTCCAGGCTGGCACTGCCACGCAGGGCAGCAGGCATGCTCCGATCCTGTGCCACAGGCTTTGCTGAGTCAAGGCTTCAGCATCCTCTGTGATGGATGCAGCAGCGCTCTCGGGGATGCTGAGGGGTGTCTGATGGTGAGTCTTCCACGCGGTACCAGAAGCAGCCGGCATTTTGGAGGCTCAACAAAACGGCTGGAAAGCTGGTGTTCAGAGCTGCAACTGCCAGAGCAGTTGCCCCCGCGGCGGCGGGGCTTCGCGCCCCCTGGGAGGCCTTCGGTCGGGCAGGGAGGCTTCCAGCCTGCGCCATGCAGGTGGGTCAGGCCGGCTTGCACTGCTGTGCCCCGACTTTGGGCGATGTGGAGGAGCAGGCAATGTGTTGCGCAGCTGGGGCTGCGTGTCCAGCCCTCTGCCCATAGTGGGGTGCAGAACTCCTGGCTCCCAGGTGCCCCTGTGCTTTCACAGGGTCTCTCAACAGCGGTACAGATGGGGAACTTCTCCCATCAGTTTAACAAACAGCCCGTCCGTGAGGAGCCCCTTGGCGGGAGGGGGAGCTCTGTCGCCTCCTCGATGCTCCGGACACCTCATGTTGGGGCTTGCCGCGGGCGGGCGCAGGGGGTCCCCGCGCCCTGCGGCGCGGGGGTCCCAGCCGGCCGGCCCAGAGACTGCTGGCGCGACCCTCGTCCCCCGC